TAACTCATACTGTTTGAAACAATAACGTCTGAAAAAGATGTGATGCTCTAAATTAGACAAATGTGAACCACAACTTCGAGGAGGTACCAACATACCCCAGTCAGGATGGCTATCAGCAAAACATCTACAAACAGTAAATTCGGAGACAGGGTGGGGCAAAGAGAACCTTCCTACAAGGTCTTGTGAATGTGACTTGGTAACAGGAACTCTGGAGAACACCGTGAGGTTCTTTCAAAACGATTGAATAAAAACAGAGCGGGCTTATGATTCAGCCACCCCACTCCTGGGTGTACAAGTGGAGAAAACTGAATTTCAAAAGACACATGCACCCCAACATTCAGTGCAGCACTGCTTACAACACCCCAGGAATGGAAGCCACCACAGTGTCCATCGTTAGATGAACAGGAAATGATGTGGCACATGTACACAATGGAATACTATTCAGCCATAAGAAAGGAGAGGTGGTGAAGGATGGCGAAGCCTGGTGTGCCGAAGTCCATAGAGTCACAAAGGTCGGACACGACTGAGCGACTGAACAACCATAAGAAAGGATGAAATGATACCATTGGCAGGCATCTGGATGGACCCAGACATGATCATACTGAGTGAAGTAACTCGGACTGAGAAAGATAAATACCCTTTGAGATCACTTACAGTTGGAATCCAAAAACTGACAGAAATGAATTCATTTATATAACACAAGGAGACTCACAGAGTTTCAAAACAAACATGATTTCCACAGGGCAAATTAGGGTGGGAAGGATGAATTAGGAGGTTAGGATTAGTAGATACATTCTCAGATACATAATACAGAGGGTCAAAAAGGACTTCCTGTATAGCCTAGGGAACTGTGCAACACTCTAACAACCCTCAAGGGAAAAGGATCCGGAAAAACAATACATCTATGTGTATGTGTATCCCTGAGTCAAGTTGCTGACACCTCAAACACAACATGGTAAGTCCACATAAACTAAACATTACATAAAAAAGGAAAAGCAGTGCCTACCATACTGCCCTCAGGCTGGCGTCACATCCCTGCAGCCTGAGAGGCCTGGGTCTCAAAGCCTGGATTCTCATGGGACTGAGGGAGCTGGGATCTACGTGCCGTCAAAGCAGCGCCCCTTAGACCTGTAGGGCCTGGTCCCCCCGGGATGGGACCACAATCTCCAGATGCACGCAGGCTCTTCAGAAGCTATGTGAAGCCCAGGGCGCCCAGCGACTGGTGGAACTTCTGGGCTGGAAGAGCTTGCAAAAGCCAGCAGGTCTCCTGGATGTGTCCTGGTGAGGGAACTCAGTACCAGCCTCAGATGGCAGCTCCCTCAGCAGAGTGGTTTTGCAGGGGGCTGGGATTTCTCCGTGGGATGAAGGGAAAGAAGGGGTAGAATGAACGAGACACAGCCCCTGGGTATTTCTTCTTCCACACTGCACTCTCCTTGACAACCCAGAAACAGACTTTCCTGAGGCTGTGTCTGCCCGGCTGACCAGACGTGGGTGTGAAGTAACGTTGCCACGTTGTGTCCTTTCCCCACAACTACAACTTACTTAATTTAAAAAAAAACCCTTAAAAAAAAAAAAACAACCCGTGTTTATGGACACTTTTTATTCACTAACCCTGTGGGGCTGGAAATGACACTTGTCCTCGAGAAATGCCCTGGGGTAGGGCAAAAAAAAAATCAAAAGATGGCCAACTTTCAAAAAGCCAATTTCAAGAGGTAGCTTTCATTCACATAGTTTGAAAAGATTAGGAAAAAAAAAAAAAAAAAAACCACAGTGGAAAGATGCTCCACAAGACTATTGTTAGAGAAATGCAAATGTGAACTGCAAGGAGATATCACTTCACACCAGTCAGAATGGCCATCAGCAACATGTCTAGAAACAATAAATGTGGAGATAGCGTGGAACATAGAAAACCCTCCTACGCTGCTGTCTGGAATGTAAATTGGTAACAGGCACTGTGGAGAACAGTATGGAGTTTCTTCAAAAACCTAAAAACAGAGCTGGCACGTGATCCCACCATCCCACTCCTGCCTGAGTAACCAGAGAAAACCAGAATTCTGAAAGACACAAGCACCCCAATGTTTGTGCAGCCCCATTTACAACAGCCAAGACATGGAAGCCATCAGTGTCCATTGACAAACGAACAGAAAAAGAAGATGTGGCACATGTATACAGTGGAATATCACTCAGCCATAAAAAAGGGTGAGATGGTGCCACATGGATGGACCTAGACATGATCAAACTAGTGAAGGAAGTCTAACTGAGAAAGACGAACATCATATGAGATTGCTCACAGTCAGAATCTAAAAATTCACACAAATGAATTAATTTGTGCAACACAAAGAGACTCACAGAATCAAAAAACAAACTTATGATTACCAAAGAAGAAATCAGGGTGGTAGTGATGAATTAGGATGTTGGGATTAGCAGATACACAAAAAGGACCTACTGTATAGTACACAGAAGCTGCCCAACATTCTGTAACAACTTATATGGGAAAAGGATCTGAAAAACAGTACATCTGTATGTGTGCATAACTGAATCAAGTTGTTATACGGCTAAAACACAATACTAAAAGTCGAAAATAAAACCAAAAAAAAGCAGTGCTTACCACATTCCCCTCAGGCCTTGGGGCCCTGGCTTGGTGTCACATCCCTGGGGCCTGAGCAGGCTTTGGTCTCAAGGTGGATCTCTCAGGGGGCTGAAGGAGCTGGGGGGGCTGAGCCAAAGAGCCCTTTGGATCTGTGGTGCCAAGTCTGCCCCAGATGGGACCACAGTCCAGATTCAGCCAGCCCCTTGAAAAGCTGTTCCAGGTCCAGTGCACCCAAAGATTGGTGGACCCGCTGGGCTGGAAGAGCTTGAAAAAGTCTCCATGTGTCCTGGTGGCTGGTTCCCACCTCTAGTCTCCTTCAATTAGTTGTCCCACCTCTAGACAACAGCACCCTCAGTCTGGCCCTTTTGCAGGGGCTGGGATTTCTTCGTGGTGTGAAAGGTCAGTGGGAAGAAGGAACGAGACACAAGGCTCAGGGCATTTCTTCTCCTATATTCAGCTCTCCTTGACAACGCAGGAAAACTGGTTTAGGGCTCTGGCTGCCCAGGTAACCAGACCTGGGTGTGAAGAAGTGCTGCCACCTTGTGGCCACTTCCCATAACTACAACTTTAAAACCCTTGCTTATGGACACTTCCTGGGCTTCCCTGGTAGCTCAGAGGATAAAAAATCTGCCTGCAAGGCAGGAGACTAGGGTTCAGTTCCTGGGTTGGGAAGATCCGCTGAGGAAAGGAATGGCAACCCACTCCAGTATTCTTGCCTGGAGAATTCTATGGACAGAGGAATCTGATGGGCTACAGTCCATGCGGTTGCAGAGTCAGACACGACTGAGCAACTAACATACACACGTGGACACTTGCTATTCACAAATCTGTGGGGCTGGAAATGACATCTGCCCTCAAGAAATGTCCTGGTGTAGGTCTCGGAAAAAGAATTCAAAACAGCGCTGACTTTCAAGAAGCCAATTTCAAGAGTTACATTTCACTCACGGTGCTTATCTATATTCCCGAAAACAAAGATTTCTTGCAGAGCAGCAATAAACGCTGAAAATCTTGTGGTTTTTTTAGCCATTATGTCCTCGTCACAGTTTCTGTTTCTGATATGCCTGGTGGTTTCAGAGGAGTGACCAGTGAGTTGCCAGAGCCTGGACGTGTCCAGCACACTGCTGAATTCCAGCATTCTGGCATGTTGCCACTGAACCCAGCCTGCCCAGTGGTTGGAAGATCCAAGTTTCAATGTCCATCACAACTAGCTCAGTCAAGTGCTGGCACAGCCTCTCATGAAAATGAAACAAAAACACCAGCTGTATTTTCATCCAACAGAACATGTGGAAACTGAACCCAAGGTCAGCATGCGTTGATAAATGTCTGAATTGGGTGACAGTCACCCCTAGTTCATTGGGCTTCCCTGGTAAAGAACCTGCCTGCCAGTGCAGGAGAGATAATAGACCAGGTTTGATCTCTGGGTCAGGAAGATCCCCTGGAGGAGGGCATGGCAACCCACTCCAGAATTTTGTTTGAGAATTCCATGGAGAGAGGAGCCTGGCGGGCTACAGTCCGTAGGGTCACAAAGAGTCAGACGTAACTGAAGCAACTTAGGATGCACCCCTAGTTTATTATATCATCCTTTCTAATGTTTTTCAATTTTCAGAAGGAAAAAAAAAGTACATACTTTTCTGTAATTCTCACTAACATAAGATCTTTCCAAGTGTGGATAAATATAAGCCAATAGTTAAATCTGGGGTCTGGTGAGAAGAAGCAGGGAGATTAGAATGGGTGATGTGCTTAATGTTTTTCTCTATATCTCTATGATGTTTAGTTTATTGCACTTAGCCTATACTACAAGCCTCCTTAGGGGAAAAAAAAAAAAAAAACACCTTAAACCAGGTACTTATTTTAAAAAAGATGGCTCTTCATAAGCAAAGACACTGTCTGGTAGAAGACTGCCCCTCCACACTAGAATGCAGTCCACAAATATTCGTTGGAACATGCTGTGAGCTCGGGGCTGCCCGGTAGGGAAGCGTGTTCACACACTATATAGAAGTAGTCTCTTGTCCTCTCTGCTAAAGAATCCTTTACCAGACAGTTCATGCCAGGCTGACAGTGGCAAATAAATTCACCCTTCCCTCCATGAAAGGGGACACGAGAAAGACACCTCTTTAAAACACACCTCGGCCTCCTGTTGATCTCAGAAATGTCCCAACCAAGGGACATTTCGGGCCATTTCATTGCACATTTAGATGAGGTTCAGGCTGCTGAAGATCAGGTTCACTGCTGAGAGAGGCCAGTTACCTTCCTCAGAAAAACATAGTATAAATGTCAGTATAGAGACTTTTCAGGAACAAAGGAATCATCTTGATTAGCAGCAAAAGTTTAAATTTTTTAGTTAAAAAGTTAAAATAGAGATGAAAGCAAAATTTTTCTCTTTCCTTTTTTCCCCCTTTTTGACCTTCAGCAGGCAAGGCTTCTGGTGTGTCCTGGAGAGGAGACGAGGTGGGATTAACAGGTAGGTGGGCAGGTGTCTGTTGTGGGAAAAGAACAAGATGTTCACAGCAGGGGAGGACTGTGGAAGCCAAAGTCACTTGTCAGTCCTCCAGGACACCCCTGAGGCCCCATGACCAGCCACCCCTGAGTTTGAAAGACAGCCTCGGGGAAGCTAGCCAGACACCTGCCCATGGACCAGATGTGCCATCAGGAGAGCAGAGTCTTCCCCATAGCAAGTGACCCTAGTAACCGCCCATGCTCATCACTGAATCACCAGGGCACACACTACTCAAGCAAGTGGCCCCCGGCAATCTTGGTTACGGGGAAAGAAGGGAAGGCAGGAAATTGGGGCTTTGAAGTCTGAATTCCTTTCTCTCTCTCCCAAGTGAGCCCTTTGTCCACCTGGAAGGTTCTGATTGAAAAACTCCAAGTTCAAGGCGGGATCAACTGCAGTGATCTTAGGGTTAAGAGTCTGAAAAGGTCAGTGGTGTGGAGGAAGGGAAATAATGATATATATAGTGGTGGGGTTTAATTGCTCAGTTGTGTCCGACTCTTCTGCAACCCCACGGACTGTAGCCTGCTAGGCTCCTCTGTCCGTGGGATTTTCCAGGCAAGAGTACTGGAGTGGGTTGCCACTTCCTCCTCCAGGGAATCTTTCTCACTCAGGGATAGAAACTGCATCTCTTGCATCTCCTGCATTGCAGACAAATTCTTTTTTTTTTTTTGCAGACAAATTCTTTACCACTGGGCCATCAGGGAAGTCACTGGGACTTCCTAAAAGGCATTCCCTTGCAGTCCAGTGGTTAGGACTCCACATTTCCACTACAAGGTGTTCCATTCCTGGTCAGGAAACTAGGATCCTGCAAGCTGCATGGAGTGATCAAAAAAAAAAAAAAGATTAATAAACAAAAACATCAGTTATATAGAGTTTGCCCTGTGCCAGTGTGTGAATTCCGTACGCATTCCACGTCTATCAATTCATTTAATCCTCAAGACAATCTTACAAGGTTAGTAGTCTCCACTGAGGTGGAAGCTGAGTCTTAGTACCTTGCCCAGATTTCCTAGAAGATGAGTACTTACATTTATAATAAGCAAACTGCAAATAATGATACATGGTAGCCACAAATTTCTCCACTGGATATCCTCCTATGATGGGGGTGAGGTTCTCCTCACACTGTATTTTGCATTCCAGGACCTCCACATAATGATCTGAAAGAACACACAGATTTTCAGGCAGTGTATTCATTATTTTCTTTATGCCACTTCTGCCCCACTCCCCAAAACAATTAAGGCAGAAGTGATCATGATAAAATGATAAAAGTAAAATATTCACACTACTTATGATAAAGGGCCAAAGTCTTTAATACATGAAGCTTGCTAAATCAATAGGAAAAAGACAAAAGCTCGGTATAAAAATAGCCAAAAGGATTCTAACAGAAATTATAAAAAGGGCTAATAAACATTGTGAAAAGATCTTAACCTTATTTGTAATTAAGAAATCCTAAAATAATGTAAGCTATTAAATTGGCAAAAAAAAGTTGACAACACCCAGTGTTAGGGAGAGAATATTGAGATTCACAGTCTCATATTTTGTTGGTAGGAGCAAAAAAGGAACAATTTTTCTGGAGAACAATTTGACAAAATTTATCAAAGTTTAAAATACACATATTCTCTAACCCAGTAGTCTCCTTCTGGAAAAATTTTCTTTAGACTTGGGCACACATAAGCAAACAAACTTGAAAGTAACCCAAACGCCGATCAGCAGGATGGTGATTAAGAAGTTATGGTACATACAAACAATAGAATCCACACAGGTTTAAAAGCGAGCAGGTAGACCTAAATACAGTCACATAGAAAGATGTGAAAGACTACATTTCCCAGCCACCTTTGCAGTTCAGCTGGGGCCATGTGACTAACTGAGCCAATGAAATGTGGACAGTTAACAACTGATGGATACTACTTCTGGAGCTGGTCCCTAAATCCAGTGTGGTTCTCAGCCCTTCCCTTTCCTCCTTTCAGAGTCCAGCATGGTGGTACACATTTTGCCAGCAAGACTGTGGAGGAGTAGGCACTCTCCCTGGTTGGTAGGAATACAAAATAGTACCTTAAAATACCAAATAATTTACTGAAACATTCACCCTGAACCATCAATCCCACTGATGCTGACTTTGCAAACACATTCCCATACTTAGCAAACAACAACAACAACAAAAAAGAAACCCACTAAAATTCCCCAGTACAGTAGTAGATGTAATAGCAAAAGACTGAAAGAAAGTGAAAGTTGCTCAGTCCTGTCTGACTCTTTGCGACCCCATGGGCTATACAGTCCATGAAATTCTCCAGGCCAGAATACTGGAGTGGGTAGCCTTTCCTTTCTCCAGGGGAATCTTCCCAACCCAGGGATAGAACCCAGGTCTCCCGCATTGTAGGTGGAGTCTTTACTAGCTGAGCCACCGGGGAAGCCCAAGCAAGAGACTGGAGCAGTCCAGATGTCTATCAGATGGTTGAATAGACAGTAGCACACTCCTCCCCTGACCCTCAATGGAGTACTCAGCGGCAATGAGAAGACTGGCACCATCTCTACGTACCAGTTAGGATATACTGTTAAGTGGGAAAAGCATAACATAGAATGGTGTGTAATGTAGGGTATGTATTCTGTATGAAAGAAGCAGGCATAAAAATAAAGGGGAAACTGGTTTTATATTCACATAACCTTTAGAGGAAAAAAAGAATTCTCAATACTGTGCTAAATCAGTGCATGGTCAGGGGTGAGGGGGTGGAGATAGTCGTGGACAGCAAGTTGTCCTAGTCTGGAAGCATCTGTCCATCAATTATTAATTTCAATAGTAATTATATTGGGCAACTGGAAAGCACCTCTCTTTCTAATCAGGACGTAACTGAGAAAGCAGGAGACGTTTTTCACAGTATATCCCTTTGTCTTTCACATGCTATAGTATGTGCTTATATTAATTATCAAAAATAAAGTTTGAGATTAAGTATTAATCCAGGGTAACCCCCTCAGGTGAGACACTATCTCCCTGGTTAAGAGGTGAAACCACAGTCAGAACACCTGGGTCTAAATCCTAGCCCTTCCCCTGAGGACAAGAAGCACTGGACTTGGGAGGTGGGGGAAAAAATTAGGAGTTAGTTTGGGATTAAGAGATACACACTGCCAGGTATAAAACAGGTAAACAACAAACACCTGCTGTATATATGGGGGGGGGCTTCCCCAGTGGACCAGCTGGTAAAGAGCTTGCCTGCCAATGCAGGAGAGGCAAGAAACAAGGGTTCGATCCCTGGGTCGGGAAGGGCCCCAGGAGAAGGAAGTGGCACCCCACTCCAGTATTCTTGCCTGGAGAATCCCATGGACAGAGGAGTCTGGCAGGCTACAGTCCATGGGGTCTCAGTCAGACACGACTGAGCAGGCACACCACACACTGTATATATAGCACAAGGAACTCCGCCTAGTATCTGGTAATAACCTATAATGGAAATTATATCTGAAAAAAATGTGTGTGTATATATATGTATTTGTATAACTGAATCACTTTGCTATACACTTGAAACTAACACAACATTGCAAATTAACTCTACCTCAATTTTTTTTTTTTTTTTTTTTTTTGCTAAGCCAGGAGTCTTGTTTCCTGACCAGGGATTGAACCTGTGCCCTCAGCAGTGAAAAATGCTGAGTCCTAACCATTGGACCACTGGGGAAGTCCTGAGAATTAGTGTTTGATGGGTTCAGAGTTTCAGTCTGAGAAGATGAAAAAGTTCTGCAGATGGATGGTGATGGTGGCCACACAGCAATGTGCAAGATTAAGAAACTAACCCAGTGCAATGTGTGGACTTTATTTTGAACCTGATTAAAAACAACAAATTATAAATTTAAGGGACACACACATATTTATGCCATTTCTAAGACGATTGGGGCACTGGATATTTGATGATGAGGTCAAGGAAATGTTGTTATAATTCTTTTAGGTATAATAGTTTGGTGGTTATGTTAAAAAAAAAAAAAGAATTCTTATCTTTTAGACATATCTATTGAAACACAAGAAATGAAATGAGGGAACACCTGGGATTTGCTTTAAAATAAGGTGAGAGGGAAGAGGGGGTTTTTTAGATGACACTCTGCCATGAGTTGACATGAGTTGACAGGTGGCTGTGAGTTGACAATAGCAAAGCTGAGTCATGGGTAAGTGGGCTTTCTTCACATTCTTCTATATTTTGTATATGTTTGAAATATTCCACAATAAAAACGTTTTGTTAAGAAAAATAAAGGTACTCTGTAGAAAAAGAGGTTCACAAGCAAAAATTTACTAAACAACAACAACAACAACAAACAAATATCCTGGATTCAATAACTCTAAAAGAGCTGCCCACCTCAGGGTTTCTGAGAATCATTAACCATCACAGGACACAGAGACTCCAAGAGGCAGACAGCCCTCAGGCTAATTCCAGATTTATCTGACCTGGGTTCCCTTCCTGCAAGGGGCAGTTTGAGGGTCTGTGTTCCCAAACCACTTAGAGACATCTCTTGGTCATTTCCTAGTCTCTGGAGCATTGCTTCCCACTAATGGTTAAAGAAAATCCCTAGGGCTATTTATGTGTTTTCAATTTTCTTTTTCTCTTTTTGGCCAAGCCTGAAGGAATGCAGGATCTTAGTTCCTTGATCAGGATCAGAATTGAACCGGTGCCCCCTGAGAGGAAGCTCAGCGTTTTAACCACTGGACCACCAGGGAAGTCCTCAATTTTCATTCTTCACTCTTTCTTGTGCTTTCCAAACTTCTTAAAATAAGCATGCATTATCTTTTTAAATTTTTTTTTAGCATGCATTATCTTATCATCAGAACATGTTTTCTTTTTTCCCAAAAATTACCTTGTGTATGTGTGTTAGTCACTCAGTCATATCTGACTCTTTGTGACCCGATAGACTGTAGCCAGCCAGGCTCCTTTGCCCATGGAATTCTCCAGGCAAGAGTACTGGAGTGGGTTGCCATTTCATCCTCCAGGGGATCTGCCTGACCCGGGGATTGAATCTGGGCCTCCTGCATTGCAAGCAGATTCTTTACTGTCTGAGCCATCAAAGTTACCTTAGTGATCACTAATCAGGGTTCATTATACTCCTCATTTGGAGAGGGAAATGGCAGCCCACTCCAGTATTCTTGCCTGGAGAATCCCACGGACAGAGGAGCCTGGCGGGCTACAGTCCACGGGGTCGCAAAGAGTCGGACATGACTGAGCAACTTCACTTCACTTCTTCATTCTTGGAGAAGGAAATGGCTACCCACTCCAGTATTCTTGCCTGGGAATTTCCATGGACAAAGGAGCCTGGTGGGCTGCAGTGCATGGAGTCGCAAAGAGTCGGACATGACTTAGTGATTGAGCATGCAGACTCTGCATGCTGAAAAATTGCTATAATCAAAGTTATCTCCCTAAGCTGAAGTGTGAGATGCTTTGGGGCTCAATTTTGTTTTTCTACAAGCCTGTGGGAATCTGCAGTCAAGCAGGACTGATGAGACAGACCTTCTCTGCAGGCCCATGTCTGGACACCATACTTACTGTTCCTCTAGAAGCTCCAGCCAAGTCAGAGGCTAATCCTTGTCTGTGTCAGCCACCCCAATTAACCCACTCTCATTTAAGCTCAAAAGTTCCTCAGAGGCCACCTGAGTTCCCTAGAAGGCATGTAGAACTCTCAGGGGCAGCTGTGTCTTTTTGTCGAGGATACAACCCACTACCAACCTGCGATGGAAAGATAGAAATCCTTGAAGTCCCTGATCTCCCGGGAGCCCTCGCAGGCAGCGAGACACTCATAGAAGGCCTTGAAGAAGTCAGGAAGGGCCAGTTCCATGTCGGTGATGCACGTCCTCCAGTTCTCGCCATTGTACGCCCGCACAGCACGGATGAACAGGCTCTGGAATCATCGAAAAGTCTACACATAAAAAACGCTGGAGAGGGTGTGGAGAAAAGGGAGGGATGTCGACTGGGCAGCCACTATGGAGAACAGTAGGATGTATGGAGGTTTCTTAAAAAACTAAAAATAGAGCTACCATATGGTCCTGCCATCTCACTGCTGGACATATGTTCAGAAAAAATGAAGGCTCTAATTCCAAAAGATACATACACCACCATGTACATAGCAGTGCTATTTACAATAATCAAGATGTGGGAGCAACCTAAATGTCCATCAGCAGGTGAATGGATAAAGATGTGGTACACATATAAAAAAGAATGAAATAATGCCACTTGCAGCAATGTCGATGGGCCTGGAGATTATCGTGCTGAGTGAAGTCAGACAGAGAAAGACAAATATCATGTGATACCACTTATACATGCAATCTAAAAAAAATGATACAAATGAGCTTATATACCAAACAGAAATAGAATCACAGACAGAAAAACAAACTTATGGTTAGCAAGGGGGAAAGGGAGCGGGAGGGATAAATAGGGAACCTGGGGTTAACAGTTGTTTATTACTATATATTGGACTGGACAAAAAGTTCATTTGGGTTTTTCTATAAGATCTTATAAAATATAAAATGGATAAACAAGGATCTACTGTATAGCACAGGGAACTATACTCAATATTTTGTAATAACTTAGAAAAGAATCTGAATATATATATGTATATGTGTATATACTTATATATAATGTATGTACACGTATGTATAACTGAATCACTCTTCTGTACACCGGACACATTGTAAATCAATCAAAAACAAAACAAAACAAAAAAGCCGAGAGAAGTCAAGGAAGGTCCAGAGATTAAGAGAGACAGATTTGTCCTCCCAGAAGGAATCAGATTGTCATGAATCATGACTGTCATTAACTCCGGACAAATCATGCTCACTCTTTTTTTTTTAAATTAAAAAAATTGTTTTTTACAAAGTTGTGCCGGTTTCTGCCATACAATAAGGCAAACCAGCCGTAATTATGCGTGCATCCTCCCCCTCTCTAGCCTCCCTCCCTCCCCCATTCCATCCATCCAGGTCATCACAGCACCAGACGGGGTTCCCTGCGCTACGCAGCGACTTCTCCCCAGCTAGGAAGGCGATCAGTGACTTACCTGGGTCTAGATTTTTCTACCTTGTTCACAGGTACAGTTATTTTATTTAACTCAAAAGCTAGCAGATGCTTGATGGTAACATCAAGTTTGAATCAAGGAAAAAAGGAAAACACCAAGGACAGAAACCAGAGCAGTGGTTACCAGGGGTCAGGGGCAAAGGCGGTACTGCAAAGGCATATGAGGGAAATTTAAAACAATTTTTTTTTTTTTACGCAGGAACTTTTTAGGGGAGAAGAAAATGTCTGTATGATTGTGGTGGTAGTTGTATGACTGCATACATTTGTCAAAACTCATCGAATTGTACAGTTAAAATTAGGAGATTTGTTTTAAATAAATTATACCTCCATAAAGCTGATTTTAAAAATCAATTCAAGGAAAAGATATAAGCTAAAGCAAGTGTCCAAGGTCAGGGGGTGGCGGCCGAGAGGAGCGACCTCACACCCAAGGCCAGGGGCAGCGGCCGAAAGGAGCTTCCCCAGACTTGAGATCAGGGGCGGCAGCCGAGAGGAGCAACCCCACCTAGAAGGAGCGGCGGCTGCGCGGGCGCAAGAGGGCTGAGAGAAGCTACTCCATGTTCAAGGTCAGGAGGGGCGGCCGTGAGGAGATACCCCTCATCCAAGGTAAGGCGCAGCAGCTGCACTTTGCTGGAGCAGCCATGAAGAGAGACCCCACGTCCAAGGTAAGAGAAACCCAAGTAAGACGGTAGGTGTTGCGAGAGGGCATCAGAGGGCAGACACAGTGAAACCATAATCACAGAAAACTAGCCAATCTGACCACAGGCCCACAGCCTTGTCTAACTCAATGAAACTAAGCCATGCCGTGTGGGGCCACCCAAGATGGTCGGGTCATGGTGGAGAGGTCTGACAGAATGTGGCCCACTGGAGAAGGGAATGGCAAACCACTTCAGTGTTCTTGCCTTGAGAACCGCATGAACAGTATGAAAAGGCAAAAAGATAGGACACTGAATGAGGAATTCCCCAGGTCGGTAGGTGCCCAATATGCTACTGGAGACCCGTGGAGAAATAACTCCAGGAAGAATGAAGGGATGGAGCCAAAGCAAAAACAATACTCAGGTGTGGATGTGACTGGTGACAGAAGCAAGGTCCGATGCTGTAAAGAGCAATATTGCATAGGAACCTGGAATGTTGGGTCCATGAATCAAGGCAAATTGGAAGTGGTCAAACAGGAGATGGCAAGAGTGAATGTAGACATTCTAGGAATCAGCGAACTAAAATGGACTGGAATGGTGAATTTAACTCAGATGACCATTATATCTACTACTGTGGGCAGGAATCCCTTAGAAGAAAGGGAGTAGCCATCATGGTCAACAAAAGAGTCTGAAATGCAGTACTTGGATGCAGTCTCAAAAACGACAGAATGATCTCTGTTCGTTTCCAAGGCAAATCATTCAATATCAGGGTAATCCAAGCCTATACCCCAACCAGTAAGGCTGAAGAAGCTGAAGTTGAATGGTTCTATGAAGACCTACAAGACCTTTTAGAACTAACACCCAAGAAAGATGTCCTTTTCATTATAGGGGACTGGAATGCAAAAGTAGGAAGTCAAGAAACAGCTGGAGTAACAGGCAAATTTGGCCTTGGAGTGTGGAATGAAGCAGGGCAAAGGCTAATAGAGTTTTGCCAAGAGAACGCACTGGTCATAGCAAACACCCTCTTCCAACAACACAAGAGAAGACTCTACACATGGA